CTATACACAGATTAGTATATATATATATATATATATATGGCCATCTACGTTACTGTAGTTTTCGAATCTATTTGATTCTATTTAAACTATATATACTGTACTATACACAGATTAGTATATATATATATATCTGTGGTCAATGCGGAAGGGTCAAGCGTTTGGATTGGCAGAAATTCGGCATGACGTGATTTGATTGGTTCTTAAATCGATTCCCTTATATTAATTAGGGCACACACACAACCCCTTCAAACGCTCATATTGTTGTTACGCTATACGTATCTGTTTGTGATCTCCTAGCGGTACGACTTTGAAAACGACACACGGATGCGGCCATCGTTGAACGTGTAATTGTCGAGGGCGATCATCGCGTCGAACGCTTCTTCGACTGTGCCCATCTCGAGCAGGACCATCTTGGGCTGCTTGGCAATCGGGTGGAACTTTTTGATGGCTCCAAAGTCGGCAAACATGTTGAGTAGGCGCGACGACGCGGCCGTGTCCCCCGGCTGCAGCTGCATGGACACGGGGATGCCCGAGATGTGCAGGAGCGTCGTGACGGGCACGACCTCGGACAGCGGCCGCTTGCGGTACCGGTGGTACGGGGTGTTGGTGTAATCGCGAGTGTTTTGGATCTCAAACTGGTCGGCGTCTGGCCGCGGCATGACCACCGTCAAGTGCTTGGAAAAGTCCACGCGGAGCTTCTTATGGCATAAGACCAGTCCGTCCACGTGATCCCGCGCCGACTGCGCGTGCCGCTCGTCCACAAATTGCACTAGCGCCGTCTCAGGTTTGCGAAACATCACTTTGACCCGCAACACGTCGCCAAAACACCCAAACAGGGTAAACAAACTGTGGACTTTCTACGCAACATATGGTTAGGATTCGACAAACATATTACTCAAAATAGTACAGGACACAAACATATTGTATTTTACTCAAAATAGTCCAGGACACAAACACAACAAATGATACTAATATATATATATATAAATTGGTAAGTATTTTTAAAAATAGAATGGAAAAAAGGCCTTATATATGACTCGATGAGGACGATGGACGTACCAGGTAATGCGGATCCAAGTTGCTGCAAATGAGCACCGTGGACCGGTCGGCGCCGACGTCGCGATCGCGGCTCCGGCTCCGGCGGTCGCGGCTGCGACGTGGTCCGCGGTCTCGAGAGTCGTCGCGGCGGTATGGGGGAGGCGGCGGGCCTCCAAACGGCGCGGAAGGGTACATGGAGGACGACGGCGGCGGTGGGTACTCGGCAGGTCGGCGGCCGCGCGCGGCGTCCGGACTACTAAACCGTCGCGGCGGCATGTCCCCGAGCATCCCGCGCGGCTCGCCTTGGTGCTCGGCAGGGTCCACGGACGGCAAGTTGGGGTTGAAATAGTCGCGCATCTTGTCGTTGTTGCACTGGACGTTCAATGACTTGTGCGTCGACATGTGGATGTGCAGCGTGTTGCATCCCGTGTAAATGTCGCGGCCGTCCAGCGCGACTTGCGCCGCCACGGCCTGCTCGGTCGCTTGAAATTGCACGAGCGCTTTGAACTCGCCGCGCTGCGTGAACGTGACGATCTTGAGCACCGTCCCGTACTTGGAAAACACCTGGTGCAGCACGTCTACGTTGACGGGAAAGTCCATTTTCGAAATCGACACGATCAGAATCGTGTTTTTGCCGGCAATGGGGTCGGGGGCGGCGGACGCAGGGTACGACGACGGAGGAGGTCGGTCAAACGACGAAGATGGACGGTCGTAAGTGGTCGTCGTGGGTCGATGAGGTGGGTCGTACGAGCTGCCAGAAACGGGCGGTCGTTCGAACGACCGTCGCTGGTCGTACGACGAGGGGGGCGGCCCCGAAGACGAGTAAGAAGGGGCAGCAGCGTACGACGACGACGATTGAGGAGGCGGACCGCGCGAGTCGTACGAGGGAGGAGCATGCCGATTGTCCACGGGTGGATACCGGTGGGAAGGAGGTCCTCCGCCACCATGCTGTGGGCGGACGTATCCAGAAGTCGATGGCGGTGGTGCGTGACGGGATCGGTCGTAGGGCGACGGCGACGAAGGACCACCTCGACGTGAGTCGTAGGAACTCGAGAAAGGTGGAGGACCAGAGGTGTTGCTCCCACGGTCGAAACCAGAGGACGATGACGGCGGAGGGCGATCGGTGCGGTGGTCGGAAGGTCTCGTGCGGTCATACGATTGCTGCGGCGGTGCACGAGAGGATGAAGAAGGAGGGGCGTTGCTGTAGCTGCGAGAGGAAGAGGATTGAGGTGGACCAGTGGAAGACGTATGTGAAGAAGAATCGAACGAGTCGCGACTAGGCGGAGCGAACGCGAACACGACCTTTTGCCCCCGCACGAGCGCATCCCGAGATTGATAGAACGTCACAAGGTTTGTCGCCGAGTCCAAGTCTGGCAAGTGAACAAGCGCTTCGTTCTTCGAAGGGATCAGCACACACTTTTCAACAGTCGCAAATGGACCCACGAGTGCGAGGAGTTCGCTCTCGAGACAGTCCTTGGGCAGGCCGCGCACAGCAATCGCACGGGATGGCTTGTTGCTGCTGCTGCTACCTGCATCCTCACTCTGACGAGGCCGCTTCTGATCGTGTGACTCACCCGAACTGTTCCCTCCATACTGCCGTTTGCTTCCCGAAGACGATGAAGGATACCGGTACGACGAATCCATCGTGTGGATGGTGTGAATTGCTAATTGACGGCTTGGAGTGAACCTACAAAACTCTATATCAATCCAACCGGTATCCAATTACAGAGGTCTACTAGTAGTATTGCAAAAACGTTAGTATTACTACAATAGCTGAATTTTTCTTTGACCACTGAATATGGGACAAAAACCTCACCATTTACCAAAGGTCCTGCTATTGGTTAAAATTCAGTATAGTCATAAAATATCATCCTAATTTGCCCAGCATTTACGCACAAAAGTGAGATACAAACATAAGCACCGATCCCTGTGTGTAGTATTTATGCCTATCGGTACAGTATTGCGAAAACGGCATGTACATGCGCGTTGGAGTGCGATTGCAGTACCCTGGTAACGGAATCTCTGTCGTTAACCTAAGCCAATAAGAACTCACAAAAGGAAGTACAACTATATATGAGCCAATACATACTCGACATTGGATTAAACAAGCGATACTCAATAAGAGTCACAATACTGGCGTTTGATTGGCTTATCTCAGACGAGAGATTATATCACCTCGAGTAAACGTGAATAAAAAAACATCATTTCTGATTAATGTACTGTACCCTCGACTTGAAGTTCTGGGTGACCGAATTTCTCACCTGGATGAAGCTATACTATAATCAAGTCTATTCTTAAGTATACTTGACTTGGATTTGCCTCCTCTGCAAAGGGACAGGGAGTTCCTAGTACTACTAGTAGTAGTACATACTACTACTAATAGTAGACGAAACTCCCTTTCCACAACATGTCACCACAAGGATTTGGCCCATTGGCCTCACCTTGGCCTGTGTATCCCAGCATGTGGCCAAGATCAGGAGAATTCAATCGCTAAAAGCGCAGGCGCAGACTCTCGTTGTCATCAACATCCTAGCAACCCACTCCACATAACCAAAGCTATGATGCCTTCGGACTGTGGGTGGCGCGGCACACAGAAACTCTCATATGTGAGTAAGGCGCATATTTCTGACGTCACAAGTCTCGCGGCGTGTAAAGTCGGCATATTTTAATTCAGTGGAATGATGCGTGCAACGGTTGGTCGTGCGAATAGAATAAGGACATAATAATATAAATACAGTGCCTCGAATTACAAAACATGAGATTAAATTCAGTAGATCGATTATATTTTTGGTTTGTATCCTACCCACAATGGTCGGAATATATCCGGTAGCTCCTCGTATCCGGAGGTTGAAGTAACGTTGCGAAACTATTATCCGGATTTCCAACGATGTCTGCGAAACAACGGCCATATATCTCCACAAGCAGAAAGTGTCAAGTCGCGCCGCTGCTACGATGCTCTTGGATCTGATGGACCGGTGGATGTGGTGGATGATGGCATGCATGTGGACCTGTACATGGTACGGCATGCTTGTGACGTTCACCATCACCACGTTGGTCGTATCCCTGGGGGACTATCTCCTCACGCTGGCGCTGCGCCTCGGCGCTGCATCGATTGTTGGCAAGTCCATTAGCATTCGATGGTCTTTCCTGCAGGGCTCGTTGGTTGTAGAGAACCTCTGCTTCTCTCCATCCCTTCTGGAACCACAGATCACGCCGTACCTTCCCGCAACAGTGGACAAAGCAACGTTGCACCGGGTGTCATTGTCGGTTCCCATTTTCGCGATCCTGTACCAATTCTTCGCGCGCAAATTGGACGCCATCCCGACGTGGGGCATGGAGGTCGACGGTCTTGACGTCGCGCTCGTCATCGACCCTGCGATGAAATGGCGATGGAAAGTCCAGGAAAACAAGGCCCGTTTTGCCGCCGCCGTCGAGAATGCCAAGAGCGCGCGGCTTCAACTTCTGGAAGCACACACCGCACTCATCTTGCAGAAGCTCGTGGCCCTCGCTACACCTCCACCTCCTTCCCCCTCTCCGACTGCGACTGTCGCTACGTCCGCAAGCTCGCACGAAGTCTTGTTGGACGCCATTGCGCAAAAAGTCAAGGTCTCTTTCACGAACATCGCGATCAAGCTGTTTGCTCCCACGACAGGCTCGTTGACGTTCCAATGGTCTGCGTTTCGACTGTGTCCTTCGACCGTCCTGGATCCGCTGCTGGAATCGCGCCAGATTGAACTGCTCGGGGTCGGGATGGCCATCAACCCGTTGGATGCCAAGACGAACCTCGTCACAACGGCGACGACGTCGGTGTTGTATCCGTTCGACCTGCGCATCGTCGCAGATCACGCGCCGGTCCTGCAGGGTCTCCTCAAGACAAGCAAGGACGTACACGTGGCATTGGAGTGGCCGGAGCTCCACCTGTCCATGGAACCGACGCAAATGGCGACACTGAACGCGATCGTGGCGCCCATGGCGGACCATGCGACGTGGTTGGCCCAAGCCGCGGTGACCGATCAATTAACTTGTGTGGACATTGGCGACCCGACCCAGTACATCTCGGATTACAAGGCCCACGTCGCATACACATCGCAAGGCATTGTTCCCATATGGCGCGACACCTGCCTCCGCCGTTTCCATTCTCTGCTTGGCTCTGCGGTCGGCAGCAACCCCAGCGAAGACGAGGCGCACCGCGTGGCCCGATTGCAAGCGGTGGAAGCAACGAGTGTGGTCATGGACGTGCTGGCGCTCCGTCGAGAGGCCCTGGCGTGGCCGATCCCGTCGTACGGGGACGCGCTGCCGCACATCTCGGACACGACCAAAGCGGCTGCCGACTTGGACAAGTTCCTTGTCACGCCCGTGGAGCATTACATTGCGAAACCAAACGCGCCGCCGTCGCCGCCGTTTTTGAACGACTTGACGGTGGCGCTAGCCCTCGATCGCGTGAGTGTGCAGTGCTGGTCTAGCCACACCAAGCCCGTGCTGGAGCTGTACATGGACGCGATCTCCACGACCATGACGGCGACTCCCACGGCCACATCGGTCGAGTTGATTGTGCGAAGCATTGGCCTGCATGACCTGCGGAAAACGGCGGCGAATGTGTTTCCCCACATTTTGGGTCGAAACCCTGACTGCTCCAACATGGTGCAAGTGGCGTGTCGCGTCGACTCGGCCAACGACGTGACGGTCAACTGCGTGGTCGCCAACTTCAGCTTTTTGCTAGTCACGAGTCCCCTCATCGAAGCCATGCAAGCTCTGGCACTGGACGAGGATGAAGATGTGCTGATATGGAGAGATGATGTCGTGGTGCCGCCGCCGCCATCGTCGCCGCCCGTCGTGTATATGGAGCAAGTGGACCGCATCCACAACCCGACGCTGCTGCAGAGCATGGGATTAGACGCGACTGTCCGGCTCGCGGGGTGCGAACTGTGTCTGCTGGCCGATCCGTCGTCGCTGCAGTCGCACATTCTGGCTTTGACGTGCGATGTGGAGGTCAGAGCCCAGAGCAACCGCCGCGGGTTCGAAACCGTCACAATTGCCATGTCGGACGTGGCGCTGCAGCCGTGCAAGGTGCAGATGACAGCCGACGGCATCGATCTGGAGATCCCTGGGTTGCGCACGCTGTTGGAGCTCGAAGGCGACGGCGTCGACGTGGAAGTGCACTATGAGATGCACCTCCCGATGCCACCGCCCACGGCTGACCCGCCCGCCAAGACGGCGTCGTCGTCGGTGAAGTCGGAAACCAAACGGGCATGGGGAGTGTTGAAGAAGGCGATCGAGGAAGGCGCCGTGCCCGACGCGTCGACGTCGACGTCGGTGGTGGCCGTGGGGGGCGCGCCGGCGCAGCCGCGCCTCTCGGGGTCACTGGCCCCCGTTGTGGACAACGTCGCCCAGCGCAAACTCCGCTTGAAAGTGTCGGACTTTGCGTTGAATGTGTCGAAGGAGGACATTGGGCTGTTTGGGGCCATCCAATCGCGCTTGGAAGTCCAGCTGGAGGTACCGGCCAAGGTGCTCGAAGCCGCACAGGGCAAGGCCGACCGCGTGTCGGAAGCCCGGAAACGGCGCCTGCAAGAAGAACTAACGTCGCGGCTGCGGCACCAGTTCGACGCACTCGATACAGACGGCGGCGGGTCCCTCGACTATGGCGAGCTCATGAAGCTGGTCGAGGTGCTCGTGGCCGACATGGGCTTGACGGCCGAAGAAACGCAAAAGTGCCACGAAACGCTTGTTCGTCAGGTGGACCGCGACGAGAGCGGCGACGTGAGCTTTGACGAGTTTGAAGCAGCACTTAACCCTGTGGAGCCGCCATACCTGCTGCTGCATCAGGGAACTGTCCAGCTCACGGCGCAAGAGTTCGCGAACCCGCGGCTCCGGCGAAACCACGTGCCCCGCCTGCACCGGGTCACGGGCCAACCGGTGCACTTGAACGACGCGGCGGCGCTGGCCGTGTTTTGGAAGAAGTACGAGCTGCAGACGGGCGCATCCAAGACGTCGCTGCACCAGCAGTCGCCGCGCGTCGTCCAGGAGAAGATGGTGCGCGTGTTCAAGAGCTTGGAGTATGCCCAGGAAGCATGGACGACGCTCGTGAACCCCAACTTGAAGCCGGCCGAGCAGTGTCCGTGGATGCTGCTGCCGCGCGAAGTGGCGGGCGCGGGTACGGCGCAGTTTGAGCAGACGCTGACCAAGCAGGGCACGCTGGACAAGGCGACGAGTCTGCGTCATGTGTCGGGACTCGACCTGAACCAGTTTGAGCAGGACCCAGTGATTATCCGGACCGAAGTGCACACTGAATTTGGCGGATTTTACTTTCGCATGGTGGACAAGATGCTTCCCGCGCACACGCCGGCGCTCGAGTTTGCACTGGAAGACGTGCAGCTCCACGGCAGTGTCACGACCAAAGAGACCAGCGCCAAGCAAGCGCTGGACGCGGTCGTGCTCACGTTTCACACGGCACTGTACTGCAAGTACTACAACACGTCGGCGCGCCAACTGGAGCCGTTCATCGAGTACTACCCCCTGCAAATGGCAGTGAAGAAGGACCCAGGCCAAGACTTGGCCTGTTACCTCGTGTCGGACTACCACTTGCAGATGAATGTCACGGCGACGTTCATGAAGGCCCTGACGGCAACCCAAGCCGCGTTTTACGACGCGCCCACCCGCCCCGACGCAGTCGAGCGCGACAACATCAAGGCACTCAAGGGACTGTGCTGGATCTGCAACCAGGTGGGGGTGCCGTTTACTTACTATGTAGAGTCGCGCAAAGCGGATAAGCACAAGGGGGCGACGGAGGTGCAAGTGTCGCTAGCATCCGAAAAAGCCACAGTGCAGTCGCTGCAGTACGCCGTGTGTCGGCTGCTGAACGAAGAGGATGACTTGAAGGGCGCGATGGCCGAGAACTTGAAAGAGAAGGAGATGCGCGCAGCGTTCCGGGCTGCCGACAAGGACCACAGCGGGGAGCTCGACAGCGACGAAGTGCACGAAGTGCTGCGATCTGTTTTGAAAGTGTACGACGACCTGTCTTCGGCCGAGATTGACAAGCAAGTGAAGGACTTTATGGACCTTGCCGACTCTGACAAGAGCCAAACCGTGAGCTGGAAAGAGTTTCAACTGGCGCTGGCCAAGACGCGCACGGTGGCGCTGCGCACGCTGAGCATTGAAATCGACGGCTTTGAGCCGATTCACGGGATTACGCTGGACGGACTGGGCGAAGACATGGTGGTGGAGCTCATCCCCAAGATTTCCATCCCGTTCGACCCGACCAACATCGAAAGCATGTACAACGCGGGCAAGGCGTACCTGACGCAAGAAGACGTGTCCGTCGACGACTTGAACCGTGGCGTGTACCTGATGCACCTTGTCGCAGAGCAGGACCCACGTCACAGCTGGACGCAGTCGTGGCTAGACATCCACGAGCCCAAGTATTGCCCGCGGCTCTTGGCGGTGCACGTCACAGTGGACAACACCCACGGCATGACGGTAACGATCAAGACAGCCGAGTACATCCGCAACGAAACGGCCAAGCTCACGCAGGTGCTGCTGCTGGACGCCCACGACGCGCCGTCGGAGCTGAATCCACCGCAACCAGACTCGAACGGCCTCGTGGAGCGCTACGTGCTTATCGCGCCGTACTCGAGCTTTAGCATCCCGCTGCCGCTGCTCGAGCACGGCGCGTTTATGATTCGGCAAGTGGGCGAAGTCGAGTGGAGCCATTCGCTGCCGCTGACGGTGTGGCCGGGGCGCCAGACTGGCCACGATGTGACACCGTACCTGACGATTGACGACCAGCCCACGACCATCGAGCGGTTCAAGGAAGGGGCGTGGGCGATTGTGCTCCGCCCGCAGCTGATTGTTCAAAATACGCTGCCGTGCGTGGTCGAGTACAAGATTGTGCAGCGCTTTGACGTGTACCCAGAGGCGGCGTCGTCGTCATCCACCGGGCGTCGGGGCTCGATCGACGTGATGGATAAGTGGTTTGACAAGGTGGACCAAGTGAACTGTCGACACATGTCGATAGCCAGCGGCGCCACGATGCAAGTGTCTGGCCTCAAGCTGGACGAACCCGCGTACATGAAGGTGCGGCTCATGGTGACCGAGGGCCACCCCGTCGGCGGGTGGAGCCCGCCGTTCCAAGTGGCCATCCACGCCGACAGTTATGAAAAGTTCTCCGGCCTCGCGACCACAACCGTACGAAATGGACCAACGGTCCAGCTCAAGTACACGTGGACGAAGCACGTACCTCGGACGATGGACCTACTGGTACCATATTGGATTCAGAACCGATCGGGACTGGACCTCCGGTACAAGATTGCCCACGGCGACTTTTGCACGTGGGAACAGCACGCCGAGTACTTTGGCGACGGGTTTCACACGGTGCCGATGCTCGTGACTGCGCCCTTGACCAAAGCCACCATGGCGGTGCTGCCGTATCGCCCCACGCCGTTTGAGTTTGACTGGCAGGCGTCGTTGGCACCACAAGTGCGAAAGTTTCTGCCGGCATTTGAATCGCTCAAGTACTCGCAACCGATCGACATGACGGCCGTGGGTACGTTTAGCGAACTCTCGTGCGGGGTCTCGGGGTGTGTGCTCGGCTACGAGATTGCCGCGGCGCCAAGTCAATTTCAGCAGTCGAAAGTGCTTGTGCTTTTGCCACGATATGTTGTCGTGAACCAAGTCCAACGCCCGTTGCAGTTTACCGCGCTCACACTCGCGATCAAAACAGCATCGGCGGACAATTTCAATGTTCTGCTCAAACCTCACCAAGCGCTGATCATCTACCGATTCCGAGGCAAAGATAAGCAAGTGCCTGCATTGCGCTGTCGGGACGCCCTTGTGAACGACGTGTGGAAGGGCCCAGGACCGTGGGCCCCCGTCGTGCCGTTGAGCGTGAAGCAAGCTACGTGCGTGTGGCTGCGGGGGCCACTCGGGGCCGCGCCGTACATTGAGATGGACGTGCAGCCCAGTGGTACGTGTGACACTGTCGTGGATGGATTGTGATGGGGGGGGATCTCTTGTAGGGGGCACGACTGCGACGACGTTTGTGCTGGTGAAGGATCGGACGCTGTCGCCGGCGATTCGCATTGAAAACCGATCGACGCAGTACGCGCTGCGATACGTGCAGCTGGGGGTCAAGTCGGCACAGGAGCTGGTGGTTCCCCCCATGCGATGGCACACGTTTGCGTGGGATAGTCCGTTCGAGTCTGATTTGAAGCTCAAAGTGTATATCGGATCGACGGCTGCGCCAACGCACGTGGACTTGATGCAGATGAAAGCTTTGGAAAAGCTCACGACGGATGAAGGGCGGACGACTTTGTACGGTGAAGTGTACATAGACGGCAACACGCGCGTGCTGGCGGTGGGCGACGAGGCTGTTTTCCATGAGGATCGTCGGCTGATGGGGGACGACCTGGTACGCGACATGGTGCTGGATGTGGGCCTGCACGGCGTCGGCATCACGATCGTCGACGACACGGAGGTGATGAACGTGACCCTGGATGGGCTGCATATGACGTCGCCCGCGCACTCGAACGCTGTCACATACGACTTGCACCACTTTCAGGTGGACGATATGACGTATCGGCCCATGTTTCCCGTGTTGATTTGCCCCGCGGATTCCGGGTACAACAGCAACAAGAAAGAAGGTACGATTTTGCAGTGTGATTAGAAGCTGATGGATGGATGGATATAGGCTGGCTGGTGGAGCACGGCGAACACCCGTGGTTTCACATGGTAATCGACAGCGTCGCAGACGGGAGCATGCTGGTCCTGAATGAGTTTGTGGTGGCGATGGGCAGCTTGGACATTAAGCTCAACTTGGACTATATCTTGCACGTGCTCGACGTGTTTTGGTCCATCCTGTACCCGCCGCAGACGGCGGACGAGATGGAGTTGGCAGGTCAAGTGGCCGTCCGCCAGCTGCTGAACCAGCGCCTCGAGGTCCCCGACGCTGCCTCGCTGGGTCAGTTGATGTACTTCAAGCACTGCGAGATCCAAGCGTATCGACTGAACGTGGTGCTGCACTCTGCGCCGGAAGACTCGGACTCGGGACTGAGCAAGATGCTCGGCAGCACGGCCGGCAACATCATTGGCGGCATCGCGCACATTACGCCCGAGTTTTACATCCGCAACGTGACGAGGGACGACCGATTCCTGTATTACGACGACTTTTTGTGGAACACTGTGATCTTCGACACGATTGTGGGCAGCTGCGTGAGCCAATGGTACAAGGTCGTGGGCAGCATGGAAGTACTGGGCGACCCCGTGGGTCTCTTGCACGAGGTAGGTGGGGTGATATATACTATGCTTGATGGGACCTGAACTAGCTATGGTTGAAAAGTTATGAAAAGTACTACTGTATGGTTGAGTATTATTTATCGGCTGTAGTTTACGGATGGCTTGGCGTTGGCTGTGCGGCAGACAAAGCGAGAATTCACGGGCAAGAGCAGACACAAGGGGCAGGGCGCGGTCACGTTGATGCAAACGTTGATTGGCGCGCCGAGCGAAGCGATTGGGAAGGCGAGCAACGGCGTGGGCGACATTTTGAAGAAGGCGACGCAGTTTGAAAGCCAGGAGAACGAGTCGGAGCCGCGCCATTTGCCCGAGGGTATGCTCCAGAGCGGGATGGTGCTGGGTAAAAGTCTGGCGTACGGGGTGTCTGGCCTCGTGACCAAACCCATGGATGGGATGAAAGAGAGCGGATTTGGCGGGTTTGCCAAGGGCGTGGGCCAGGGGGCCGTGGGGCTCGTGGCGTCGCCGTTCATTGGGGTGATTGGCGTGGTGGAGAAGTTGAGCCAATCGATGCACAACACGACGCACTTGATGGACGAGAAGCACTACGAAGGCACGCGGCGGATTGCGCGGAAAGGCGCGCTCAAGTCGATTGAAGACTCGCCGCTTTTGGCCGAAATTGAGGTTCTGCTGGACAAGGTGTCGGGCGTGCCGCTCAAGTCGAACGTCAAGGTGTATGTGACTCTGAACGAACTACTGCAGCCCGCGGACCCATCGACGCCCGTGTGGCGCCGCATCGGCAAGGAAGTGGACAAGTTCAAGTCGAAAACCAGACGGCATGCGATGGGCCAAGCCGACTTGAACCAGTCGCGCATTGTGGACGTGACCTCGATTGACATGGTGCTGGTGTTTGATGTCGTGCATAAACGCAAGCCGCTGCCCCGGAAATCCCTCGGCAAACTGTACTTGACCATGGAACAAGTGTACGAGCACTTTGCGGCCATGCCGAAGCGGTTTAAAAGCAACGCGACTATCAAGGAGCACCTCAAGTCCCGCAAAGTCCACCAAGGATCGATCTTTGCGCAGAGCCTCGAGCCGCCAAAAGTGCTGAAATCCAAAAAAGAGTCGCCGCCGCTGCCGCCGTTGACGGGGCACGCGGCAGGGTGGGAGCAGGCGTTTCAGCGTGCGGCGAACATCTTGAAGGAAGAGCACGACACGCACAGCTACACGGCGTCGGGCAGCGTCCACCAGCGGACGAGCCAGTCGAACATGAGCAATGGCAGCGCGAGCGGACCAAGGGAAGACGCGACGCTGCCGCCCAAGAAATCCATTGCGTTTGCACTGGTCGAAACCGACGAAGGGGCCCCGAAACTCCACCTGAACATTCGGTACTTCAACACGATGCGGTCGTAGCCCCCAGATGATTCCTCTCAGCCGACAACATAATTTGAATAATGAGATGTGTATGTGTGCATGGAAATCCGGCTGGTGCTCGACAAGGAGGCAACCACAACGAACTACTACACTTTGTTGCGGTTAATTCAGCAGTAAACGATACTTGGTTGAATTATACCGCTCGCTGGCTTTGGGACATATGAAGTTTGAGATTGCCACGAAATTAAATGGACGTAGAATTAATAGCGTCTTTCTTATCTGTACAGTTTATAAGCTTATTTTTCTACGATTTGATTGGCTATTCAAGCAATTCCATTGGTCAATTCGAAAGCACTTTAAACTGTCCCATTGTGCACCATTACGTTACCAATTAAGAGGAGAATCAATGCAGTTTGTACTACATCAAATCATATCGATATTCGTAGTGATGTGATCAACGAAGAGTGAAAATATCAGTAACTAGGCTGAAACCGTAGAGGAACACTCACAATTAATGCAGTTCTTTTTATAGCTAAAAAGAAAATACTGGTACTGTACTAGTAGGTATTAAAAAGTTCTAGTAATAGGAGCTATTATAAAAAATAGAAGTACCATCCATACTGAAGAATTTGTGATAGAAATAGTTAATAATATTAATAAGAAAAGCTCTCAAACTCGGCTAATTATTCTGCCTATTGAATCAATTACTCCATTCACCAATGGCGCCTAGGCCCCTTGGTGAATCTCCAACGGTAAATTCTAACCTATTGCTAAAGCATAGGTTAAAGTCAAACTTCGTTTTTACGGTTGCTATTTTGGCACTATCCGGACTTTTTAGAAATTTCGACTCGCAGAATTTCTATTTTCGCATGAAATAGCAACAAACCCTCCGGATAGTGCAAGAATTTCTATTCTATATCCGTAACTTCGAATTGAAATAGAAATAAAAACACCGTTGGAGATGCTCTTATTAGTCGTGAGGTTGTTCGTGAATCGGTCATACCTACTCAAAGTGGTGAAGAAAGTGTGAAAGCATGTTGTCATGGATACTGCTGGTACACTGAGTTTTGCACACCAACGCATACAAAGAAATTACCAAGCCAACCACCAAAGTCCAAGGACATTTGATTTTATTTGATTCATTCTTTTTTATTTACTGTTAGTCAAATTTACTGTTAGTTGCGTGTTTTGGTGGTTTCATATGTATACTTTAGTCAGTAGAAGTCTGAATTATTTTAACGTAAATTTAAAAGCATTCAAATATCAAGCCAAAAAAAACAAATGGACGTCCAGAATCAAAATATTTTACAAACTCGTTATAACATTACTTATAAATTAGTGGATAAAAGATATTATAGAAATTTTCGGTCCTTAGATGTCGTTTGAAAGTCATGAGATTCAAATTAGGGGGCAAGAAGTTCGGTAAATCAACGATTGTTTACGATACTCGAAATATATGTTCACACCATGCCTCGTACATTTGAAAATTCGTCTTGACAGTAAAACAGTGAAGATTTGAAAGATGAGCTAAAGTGGCGCCAGGAATATACATTATTTAACGATTATTTTATTTTAAGACTCAAGTATAGTATACCGTATAGTGTACCGTCAGAATATCGATACACTACCATTCGTAAATATAATACCAGTATACAATATAGTATACCGTATAGTGTACCGTCAGAATATCGATACACTACCATTCGTAAATATAATACCAGTATACAATACTGTAAGCGAAATAATATATTTATATATTTGAGATGAGGATGCAAAAAGAAGGCCAAAATCTTCAATATTTTGACAATTTCTTACAAATCGGCAAAACTGAAAAATATCTGTCTCGATTCAAAATTAGGCTGAATATAATCATATCCAATGAAAAGTCCTTATTCCAGAATGAAGCCATTGGATTGGATAAAATGACAACCGTTCGCGATATTAATGGTTTTCGGAACATTTTGTGACAAGATAGTTCATTATTCCTGTTGAAACTAATAAACCTCTACAAATTGGATATCGAAAATGTTGTGGACCTCAAGATACGAGGCTTCCTTTCTCAAAAGTGAATGGACCACCGAGATAGCTAGATATGGATGGTTCACCGGATACTAGTGCACGCAACATCCTTTAGTCATACTTGTCCGTTTGGGCGGAACGAATGCAAGATTTGTGACTCCCATAACTTTTGCCCTTGGAGGTATTTCCTCGATGTATATTTGAATTCAGGTGTTTAACGAGCAGTCCGTGACGTACTGGATGGAAACGCATTTTTAAGACAGGTGCTTCGAAGTATACTACTAAACTATACTTGAGCCTTAAAATAAAATAATCGTTAATAATGTATAGCATGAAAGGTACCATTTATTAAAACTATTGAGAAACAGAGTTTCTCAGTTGGGCCTTCAAGATTCTGCATGCAGAATATGTGGTTGGTGACGAAGAGATTGTAAATATCAGTATCGAAATCGGCTCACTGGAAAATTTCTTTGCATTCGTCTAGCCCAAACGGACAGTATTGGTATTTTAACTCCCACGAACCAAGAATGGATTACGACTTCGAAGTTCACCTCGACGGCTAATTCACAGTTGGTTCCATCGATAAATGCGACGTACGTACGTCCTTAAACCACGCAGTGTACTTTTCCATTCAATAGCCAATGCATACAGTTCTACATTCGATTCATTATATCACTTCACCAAGGTGGGACGTACCAATGCCTTATTCCAACAATCGTACGTGCAGAAGGAGGACACTTAACCAACGTTTGTTTGGCACAATGAAAACGGCATACAACTAATTGTTTTACTAACCGTAAAGTGCCTATAAAACCACCTTCAACCAACCAATCATCGCATTATACGAAGTACTTATCTTTAAACAACGCACCCAAGCGTTATTCAAGTTATTAATAGTGTTATTTTAGCCTTAGAATTACTCCGAAGTACAATACGAGTATTTATTCTACAGGAGGCTGCGGGAAATGACGAACATAGCCATCGTTGGCGACATGAGCGAGGATAAACGTATGTCTACAGTAGACGAAGGAGTTGAGTTTTGCAAGGCGACTTTGTATTCGATTCCGATGTTTAAAACGTATACGTCAATACTTCAAATTTTGGCCGCCAGTTACAGTACAATACTTGTTGGAAAAGTATCCACTGCATTCCACGAGAACACCGTTACGTATGTTTAATATAAAATAAGTAGTATGTCATAATTTAAAAAGATAACATCGAAACAAAGCATCAAGTTAACATCAATGTTTGTCATAATTTATGACAAACAATGTTAGCTATCGAGAAAGTACATGAGGGGGAGTTTTTGTCGTTGAATTGCTCAGCAACGGCTGGTCTGGGCGTGATACATTTAATATGAAAACTGAAGCGATGGCTGTAGGCTATATAACGAGACGTGATGTGTGGCGATTGCACTTATTTACTGTTAGCATGCGTGAAGTGACCTCAAACATGCCAAAAAACTGAAATATAGCTTACTTTGGGTGTGATTATATCCCGCAATAAGCATCGTAACACCGTCCATGCCGCTTTATTACGTAGTATCAATGCTGCTGTACATGCTACCATGTTCTTGAGTAGATCGGTGATCTCTGAGCTACGAAGCAGCACATTAAAGACGCATTTTGGCGAAAACTTCAAATATAGCGTGAAAGATGATGACAAACAATTTTTGTCATCTTGAGCTATAATTTATAGCATACTAGTACATTGATGTCATAGTTTTAAAAGTTATGCAACCGTTTTGTGTGGAGCCAAGCAACTCAGTGCAATCAGTTGAGGACGATGCCAATCCTTCAAAATGGCAATTAAAAGCAGTGCACTTTGCTTTCTTCCTCAGGGTGAACTCGATTTGATTCTAGCGTGTTGTATGGTGATGATGAACTATGCACTGCCATATCGTTTGAGGATTGTAAAGTTGATCGTTTCCCGCACCCTCCTCCAGTAGTAACTGTTATTAATAATAGCTGTTACTCCACTAACGTTACAGTATACTAACGTTATGTACTATACTACCGGTAGTAACCATGGAAATGCCAAAAAAGGTGAATACCACAATACTTACAGTAAAAGGTTAAAGGACACCTACTGTACGTACAGTTAGATCACATATCACAGTACTAGTAACTTACTACGCTCTACTACTAGTACAGGGTTGTACTGTACTGGTATACCGGTGCTTGTTCCGAAGTACTGTACTACAGTACAACCTACAGTGGTACGTACGTACTGTAGTGCCACCGGATTGTCACTTGCCAATTACAGTAAGCACAGCAGTGCTTTGTACTACTAGTGCGAAACGTTAGTAGTACTAGTACTTGGACGCTTACGACTCAACGGGTACTACAACACACCAGTAAGGCTACCAGGGTAGTGAACAGTGGTGGCTCAATTTCTCAGAAAGAAGAACCTACCATCGTTGGTTTGACTTGGATTGGGTACAGGTGCAGGAGTTGCGTCCACCGCACGCACCCAGGTGCACGTCTATGTGACATCTGTGCACCTTAGGTCGACATGGCGTACAGTGGTACCGTTTGTAGCTATGCTCGTCCGTCAGCATCTACTAACGTTAGTATTTTCCGTGGGCATTTGCGCATCATGGGCATGCCACCGACCCCTCTGCCTCCCAACTACTTTCTCCAACCACCGCTTTTCCCGACGCAAGTCGACAAGTACTTTCGCCTGGCAGAGGACACGACACGAGATGTGGTGCGTTGGATTCGAGCTACGTACGCACTCCGCACTTCCTCACATGCCTTGTCGATTGGCTTAGATTGCAGCCACGCAGCTGGATGGTGGTCTCATCAAGTGGAGCCAAAGCTCCGCCATGGTCGAGAAGTCTATAGCGAACGGCCAAACAATGCAGCAGCGTGGGGGTGGCTGCACCATTTACAAAGGATTTGACCCGACCGCCCCGCCTGGCGTCATGTCATACCTGGTGACGATGGAGCTGGAGGCAACGTTGGCTCAAGTCGCGGCGATGTTTGCTGCGTATACGCCCCATGAGCTACACGAGTACCGTCGACGCGTGGCCCAAGACGTGATCGACATCCACCAGCTATACGCCCTCGCGACGCCGACCCCAGACTTTCCCCATCGCCTCGTGTCTATCAAGTATTTTCTCATGAAGGGCGCCATGCCGGCTATCACGCGGCCGCGCGACTTTTGCTGCCTCGACGTATGTACAGTGTCCGTGTGACAAGTTTCATGCATAGAGTGCAAAGGCATGAAACACCTCATTCTCCCTAGAGCAATTTGGAGTTTGAAATCAACGGCGTACGCGGGTTCGCGCGCGCAATGAGGTCAATCGAATTGCCGTGCGTCCCGGACTTTGAAGCGTCGTTCAACATCGTCCGAGGCTACGAGCATCGAGGGGGGTTTGTCTTTATCGAGTCAAGCACGACCCCCGGCGTGCTCTGCGCCGCCCAATTGCACCAAGTGGACCCTAAAGGCAAACTACCGACGTGGCTCGTGGATCTGGGCATGAAGATACGCTGTCGCAGCTTCCACGCCTTGGCGCGCCTCGTGAACGAGAGCCGCATGACCGACCAAGCTTTCCTCCGAGACCACGAGGTGGTGGCGAAGGCCAGTCGAAGCCACTGCGCTCTGTGTTTGTCCAGGTTTCGAGTGCTGTTCAAACCCCCTGCTCGGTGTCGTAAATGCGGCGAGGTACCTTCCCTTCGTTAAGCACACGTCATGGACATATTCGGTAGGTTATGTGCCACCAATGTGCGCCGCTGTGGTCGGTCCGGACGTCGCACGGACAAGTACGCCGCGTGCGCGTGTGTCAGATGTGCTGTCGGAACTCGCAGCCCCTGCAGTCGAGCTCGAGGGGCCCCACAGAGATGACAGTGGTGGACGAGATCGGGCCTGAAGAAAGCGAAGACAGCGACGCCGCTATCAACATGCTCACCCCCGCGCGGTGGTCGTTTGACGAGGCTGAAGTGGCGGCTACCGCAACCATGATGCAGTCTCTCGCGTCGTCTGCCGATCGATTCTAACAGCGTCGACGTACTATGTTAATATATATTCACGATTTTCAACTTTAGCACTTATTTGACCTTGACCAGACCGACCTACTATATATATATTAACATTCCACTTCCACCCAACTGACGCGATCGCCACCCATTGGTGCGTGCCCTACATACTACTACTACTACCTTCTCCCTACTAGGGGTATTCGATACTACCTACTACTACTTAGTACCCGACGAGGCTCGGAGCAGCGCGGCCACGACGTCAAAACTCCACCGGTCAACCGTCAAGCCTTGCAATCGGTTGTTGAGTATGTTAGCTCGCGCGTCGCCTGGCAGTTGCAGGTACAGTTTGCCCGATGCTTGTTCATACAGAGCAACCAGCGCCCGCTCGTCCATGTCTGCTAGCTGCACTACCGCCATCCCCGTGAGCCGCACCAGGGTATCCATGGTAGTTTTCGCCATCGTCAGCAGTTCAGGGTCCTCTACGTCGCTCGGCTGGAGCAGTCGGAACGGCCCGATGCCGGCGTCATCGTCGCCCAGAAACCAGTGCAACCACAGAATCCAGCACGTCGTCGGCACAAAGCACCACGTCGGGGGCGTCCGGCGGTATATTCCAGTGGGCCATCGGAAGAATCGGCTCACTTTGCGTCGACCGACCGTCGGGTCGTGGGTCGTGAGTGCCACAAGCACGTCCAAGCACGTCGCTGCCTCCACCACTTCGCCGCCAAGCCGAAGGCGAAACGCATCCCACGCCCGCACTGCAACCGAGCGGGTTTCTTGGCGACTCGGGGCGGGTACTCCGTCGGCGGGACGTTCAGAAAGCAAGCCCAAGTCGTGGGCGACCAACTCCATCTCTTGGACAATCGCGTGCGACATGGCTAACGCGGCGGCATCGTCAGACGACGTGGCCACCTTGTCCCGCAGCGGCTTTCGACTCGCAGTCGGGGTTTCGGGGTTGTGAGGGGTGCCGTGAAACCACCACTCCCACAGCGTCACGCACGTTAGCACCGACAAGTCCACCGCCATCGCCTCTGGGTTCTGAAGAGCCATCGTATGTCGAGATGGGTCGTTGGATGGTATTGGTGGCGGCAACTCCCCTTGCTGTTCAACGGCCACGGCGACAGCCGCCACATTTGGGCTCTTCTGACTTGGCATCGCTCCATCAGTAACAACAGTCGCGTCGACTCGAGACGGATCTGAACTAGGCTCGACGTGTTGCGCGGTGGAAGAACTTGTCTGTAAGATGGCATACACGTCCGTGCATCGCATGTCGGCCATCCCTTGCAGCCTCCCGACACCAATCACGCGAACAGTGTTGTCAAACACTTTGAGCAGCGATTTGGACGCGTTGAGCTTGGCCATGTTGATCGCTTTGGTCGGATCTTTCAACTGATTGAACTGGACGGCGGCCGCGGTCACGAATTCCATGACAACCGCCGCGGCTGTCGACGCCGCCACCGAAGCCGGCCCAAGGTCCTGCGCCGTCAACTTGCGGAACGGACCGACGTACGTGTCGGGGTTCCCGAGGAACCAATACAGCCACATCAACCGACACGGCGCGTCTTCAAAGGTCCAGTGCTCGGGCGCGCGCCGCAGCGACTTGTCCGACCAACGATGGAGGGGTCTCCCTCTGCTGTCGACAACCAGCGTCGCCCCAAGCACATGCTGCTGCATCGCCACCAGCACGGACGTGAACGGCATCTTCGCGTGCGCCGTGGGCGAGTGCTTCAGCATGGCGTGGAGCACGGCCAGGCTTTCCCACACGGGCAAGTCGGCGACATCGGTGCCCGGGGGAACGAGCCGAAGCGGCCCCGATGCGATCGCTTCCAGAGTCGACATCACGTACGTCACGGCCGCGTACCGTTCCTGGGTCAACTTGCCGGGCATGTCGGATGGCTTTAGATTCCGAAACGGGCCGAGGTTGGCGTCGCCGTCCCCGTGAAACCACCACGTCCACATCTGGACGACCGACGTCGTGGGCGGCGGGAGCGTCCAGCTCTCGGGAACCCGCCGGACCGATCCGTCCTGCCATCGGTGCCATCCCGGACGAAGCGCCGCGCTGTCATACAACACCCGACTCACGATCGACACGGGGGCGTTGGCGACTTGGACGGGCGACTGGAATCGGTGTCGCAGAGCCTCGTGCTCGTGCAATAAAATCGCACAGGCTTTGTGCACGGCTGTTTCAAATACCGCGGGCGGCAAGCTGGACATGTTGTCTTGGACCAGGCCAAAGCACGACGCCGCCAATTCAAACAGGGCGTTCATGACGGCACGGCAATCGGCCAGTTGCGATACATAGCGGGGCCACAGGTCGTGGTCTGTGAAGAGCCGATAAGGGCACATTCGATTCACGGGGTCGCCGTGGAACCACCACCACCACACTTGACGAACACTGGCGTTTGGCTGAAATGTCCACGCGTGCTCGGGCGTGCGACGTACTGACCGATCCGACCACGGAAAAAACCATCCGCACCACGCCGACGTCGGCTCGGTCGGCGGTTCCATCGCGATCAAAAAGTAATACAGCCGCGCAAAGCTCAAACGCCCCGCCCTCGTCGCCACCGAGTCGAGCGCCGGACGTCGTGACAACTGGAGCAGCTGCACCAACGTCGAGTCAAACACGAGTCGGAATTCCGGCGTCGGCAGCTTCGCCACCGCCTCCACAGTCATGCCGTTCGCTTCTACAACCGCTTCCATCGTGTCCATCACGAGTCGGCACCGCGCCAAGTTGGACCACTCCACCTCCGACGGCATATCCGAGTTGCCAAGCTCACGGTATGGTCGGATGGTACCAGAGCCTTTGAACCACCACGTCCACACGTCGTGGCACGGCGCGTCGCAGAATGTCCATGATTCTGGTACTCGATGGTTGGAGCCATCGGTCCAGACAAACATCGCCCTGCCGCCATCCGTCGCTGGAGTTGGCGTGGCGGCAGATGCCGCCTCTAGAGGAGGAGGAGGACGACCAGATGCCGAGCTTATCGAGGAGGTCGGTGGCGGTGGTCCAGCCGCTTTGAGCGCACTCGAGAGGGCTTCGCCGACTTCAACAAATGTTTTCTTGGCGAATACCTTGGGCTCGAGGCCCGCGGGCCGAAGCACCTTGGCAAACGCTGTCTCGAACAGGTGCACCGAGCTCTTGATGGACAGCGACCCCATCGAGACTGTATGCGCCGCGTCCACAGCGTCCACCAGCACGGCAATCAACCGCTGAGCCAGCGCCCATCGCATCTTGCCGCGCTTGCTGCACTGAGCAACATCCTCGGACGTCAAGTGCACCAGCGGACCCACGTGGCCGTTGCCGTGGAACCAAAACAGCCACAACGCCTGCGCAAACGTGTGTGGAAAGTCCCATGGCGAAGGCGGCGCACGACGAATGGACTCGTCGCGCCATCGGAAGAACGGCACGCCGTCGCGGACGCAGTCGGGGCGGACCAACTTGATCTTTGTCGTCTTACTAGATGCGACAGGCTTGGACGAAGGGGGAACGCGAGGACCTGGACGAAGAGGGTGCGCCGCGGTGGCTCCTCCTTGGGGGGGACTAGGCACGTCGGGGCCGGTCTCGTCGGCCGCCGTACCCGCTGGTCGGCTATGGCTATGATTAGGAACGCGGCGCTCTATCCGCTGGTTGACCGTATGGGGGATGGCGGCAGGGGTCTGAGTTGGTGGACTTGCGGGTGTAGTAGTACTGGTCTTGGCCTTCTTTCGGGCGGGAGGGGGAGGTGCCGTGAATGCTGGGACTTCACGTGATGACGGAACGCTCGGCGTGTGTGCGGATGCCGTTGTGGCCCCAGTGCGTGGGCTAGACGTTTCTGGAGAAGGCCGCCGATCCGTCGATGGCAGGAGTACTCGCCTGGTTGAAGACTCCAGGCCAACTTCATCGACAGAGTACCCCACATGCTGTGGCGAGTCTGTTTCTACGTTGGAAGCATCGCTAGAGCGCGGGGGAAGATCGTGGGCTGCACTTGACGGGATCGAAGGCGATGATGACGATGCTTTGCTTCGCGAGGATTGTGCCCGTACGTCGGGGGGTTGCGGCAAGATTTTCCTCAGCAAACTGTTGGGTCCTGGAATCGAGCTCGTCATACGAGTCGCTGCAGGACAAGTAGTGCTTGGGGGTTTCACTCGCCGCGACGACGGTCCCAGCAAGAACTTATTTGGTTCTTGCTTTATCGGCGATGTTACCTTCTTGGCCTGTGTTGGAGGAATCTTCGCGGCCCCAGACTTGCTTGATGTCACCTTCCTTTGGCCACTAGTCGACGTACCATGACTGGCGGATGTCGTTGAGGCTTCCTTGGTTGATGATGCGGCATCGTTGGACGATGGGATGTCCGATGCCGTCACATCAAACGAGTCCGTCAGATCGGCGAGTGTGGATGTATTTGCACGATGTGGGTTTCGTTTGACAGCACGAGACGACGGCTGGTAGTACGCATCGGAATCGCTACTAGAATTGTCCACGCAAATGACGTCGGTCGAGGTGGGTTTCGACAACTCCCTTCCTGGCGTGTGTCCGGTCCGTCGCGGCAATACTCGCAATCTTTTCCCTTCCTCCGCAAGTCGACCACTGCTACTGGTCACCGGAGCCCCTGAATCTCCGTCATGAAGTCTGCGCTTCTTGGTGGTTGACGGTGACGACATGGATGTCGGACTTTGGAATTTGGTTTTGGTTTGAATGAATGGCTCTTTGATTGGTTGAAATTTTCTTTGTTTCTCCTTTTAACCAATCATTTAACGTTATTGCTTATTTTTGACAATCATACATATTCGATCGAACCTCAGGGGGTTCAGGTTTTTTCCGACGCCCACTACTGATTCACCCCATACTACAGTAGTAGTACTACGTAGTATCAGTTATCCGTCGCCTAACTGAAAAGTGCTCAACACATATTTCGTCCAGACCCTACTTCGTTACAGTGTAAATTATCCGGTATATGTCATTCAGTACCCCAGTGTGAAATGTCCCACTAGATGCACCACCCACTCGGGGAAATCGAATTGCAAAGAGCAGTCGATCAAATGCATTCGTGTAAGCACGTAGTCATGACAAAGTTGCGTCGAATTTTCTGTTTTCACAGTGTAACTTAAGGAAGTTTTCAGAAATATTCTGGAATTTACTGTAATGTTTGGAATCTTTTCGAAATTTTCCGTAATATTTAGAAAGTTTCCGAAAAGTTCAGTAACTTTCTGTAATATTCGGAAAATTAGCGCATCGCATTCTCAAACACTTTTTGCACCAAAACGACAAGTTTCTTTAAATTGACGGCTCACAGGAAATATGTGCCGTAAGTAAAATCTGTGGCCACCATTCGAAAATGGCGATGTTATCGAAGGGTGGCGAATATATCATAGCCAATAGAATGCGATCACAAGTTGATAGAGGTCAAGTATTGGACAAAATTGAGTACGAATATATCATAGCCAATAGAATGCGATCACAAGTTGATAGAGGTCAAGTATTGGACAAAATTGAGTTATCCAAGAATTCGATGTAGTCCGAGAATTCGATGCTATTACTGTACCTTATTTATATATACACGTGCTAGTATATCACAATTCAATATTAACGATGTACAAAATGACGATGTTTTACGCAAACAACAATTATATATCAAACTAAGATCGACGGCTACTAGTATTAGATATCTCTCGTCGTCCACGACATTTCAACACGACAACTTTATGATTGGTCAAAAATGTATTCCCAGTATGCAATTTTGATTGGCCGAGTTGTGAGACTTCTCCAACAACCTCATTTCACAAAAGACCAAGATCCCAACACTATATTAGAGCAACTCCACCCGTGGGATTTATCGAATGAGATTTATTCGGATAATGTACGGATAACAGAGAAATTTATTGGATTCCCAGGGATAAATCTCAATTTCCCCACCCATCATATTTATTCCGATTTACACACACAGAACGCCGTGCTGTGGCAATAAGTTTAGGACCACCTAGAAATTGGACAGGTTAGCACACTCAAGTAGTTTGAGTTAATTCCCGCCTTTCCTTGATTTCAAGACATCATCATTGCGTGCCAGCGGGACCCACGCTCACGGAGGAAGAACAGGGCATGATTTTGGCCCTGAACGCCGTCGGCAAAGGCCAAAGAGAGATAGAACGACTTATTGGTCGCTCTCGAAGTGCTATTGCTTTGTTTTTAAGCAACCCAGTGGCCTACAATGCCAACAAGCGTAGTGGACGGCCACCAAAAGTAACTACCAACGACGTGCGCTGCCTCCTTCGAACTGCTTCCAATTCCTTCTTGAGCTCACGCGAGCTTTTTGACGAGTGCCAGCTGACCATAAAGGCCAGGCGTGCACCTCAATTGCTTAACAAGTCAAAGCACCTCAAGTTTATCAAGGCGTTGGCATCGCCAACCCTTACGAAAGAGCTCATGAAAGCCCGTTAATTGTGGGCATGTCAAAAGGTCTCATGAGGTGACCGTGATTGGACCAATGTCGTCTTTAGTGACGAAAAGAAATTTAATCTTGATGGCCCTAACAGCGTGCAAAACGAAGCTGTCCAGCGTCATTTGACGTTGCAATTTGGCAACCACTGGCGGCGGCTGCGTGCAGGCGACATCGAGGGTGACGACAGCGACAGGTAACAAAATATGCACTTTGTTTTGGAAGGACATGACAATTGCGTTGCAGAGGATTTGTACGTTCATTTCGACGACGGTTGAGTTGCTGGTGTTCGAGTGCGTGTTAATTTCTTGGATCGATTTTGTTTGTAATGCTGCTTGTAATAAGATATTCACAGCATGTCTTTGCATCTTCCCATCGGCACCATACCATGAGCTATCCGACATTGAACCGACGCTGTGGAGACTCTAACACTCGGTAAAACTTCCTCCATGACGTATGCTGTTCTACGTAATTCAACGTATTGGACCTTGGGTTCTTCAACTCGATCCAGGCCTTGAAGCACCGTCAAGTTGTTACCAGTATTGACGACCTAGTTGCTGCCGTGCACAGAGTTTTTGACGACCTCGATTGGCGCGTTCTGGACAAGCCATTCTTGACCCTTCAGAGGGTTATGGGTGAGTCATTGAAGATGGGCGGCGACAACTCGTTCACATTGCCGCACTCGCACAAGGACAAGACTGCAAGGCTTGGTGCAGTTGCAACTGTCTTGTGTGATCCAGACGTGGTCAAATATATCGAGGCGATGAATGCCCGGAAGGATTTCGAACGTAGGGTAGGTAGATAACCTATCTAGTGAGTTGTCCGCTTGTGATATTGAGGGAGTGATCAATTCGTCCAATATTGATCACCTCTGCACAATTGTAGAGTCCATGACGACCTGACTTGCAGCATATCATGTTTGCTCTTGTCGTAAAGTCAAGTTTATGAATAAAAATACAGTTTTCCTTCATGCCGAGTATACAAACAATAAGATAAAAATATGGCCAAAACCAATGTCTCCAGTATTGCGGAATGGAGGAAGTAACAGTAAATACTAGTACCCACATTAATTACCGTACCAAGTACTACTATAATTCTCTTTCTCCAATGTACTCTCCGGCTATAAACTTCCAAAATTCGCGCGGTTGGTCAATCCATATTGAATTCTGAGTGGTTGAATATCCTTGTCCTTCCTTTATGAGCCAATCAAATCCACTCGAAATTGGAGCGTCGATTAGTGATTAGATTCGGCGGCGAGATTCGATTCGACGGGGTCTGGAAATCCGTGCCGAATCCACAATACTACAGTATTTTTGTTAAGAGCCCGTCTGATAATCTGAAATATTACAATATTCTGGGTGTTATCAGAATGAAAGTATTTCTCGTTCTTGAGCAATGGGGATTTGAAGTCACGACCGAACTGTAAATGCGACCAAAAACAGTGTGATGGGAGTCATACTAAGGGCCTGTTCCAAGTAGATATTTTTACTGTCAGCAAATGAAAAAGTGCTTCCAAGTGCTAGTTTTCTACATTTTACCTCTTTTTCTGCGATTTTTTATGCAAATCACTATACCAATCTTTTTCTAAATCGTGAAAAAAAAGAGGTAAATCGATTTTGCTTGGGTCATGCTATTTCTGAAAACTACTTGGAACTCCCCCTAACTGTAGTGAGTACTATAAATAGTACTCATGCCCAAATCAACAGAAACACACTGGAGCCCCGAGCTCCTACCAGTCTGACCTTGTGAGACGACGAGGGGGACGACGAATTTATTTCCTGGGAATTCATCTTCAACTCTACACAGTATAAGGTCGTTCGATTATTATATATTACAAATGGCTTAGACGCCGACGTAAGCAAAGAGGATCAAGCTGGTGGCCATGATGAGCATGCCGCCGAAGATCGCAACCGTGACGGCGCTACCTTGTGGCCAGTACTTGATCGCCGTGGGGATGAGCTCCTTGATGGAAATGGTGACCATCATGCCCGTGACAATGCCGAACATGACACCCTCCACGATGGGGTTGAGTCCTTCGCCCACGACCAGCCACGCCAAGACCCCCCCCAGCGGCTCGGCCAGCGCAGAGATGAACGTCCACATGAAGGCCTTGCACCGGCTGTCCGTGGCAAAGTACACGGGCGTGGCCACGGCGATGCCCTCGGGGATGTTGTGCAGCGCAATGCCGATGGCCAGCACCGCCCCCACACGCAAGTCGCGCATGGCAGCGACGTACGTGGCGACGCCTTCGGGGAGGTTGTGCATTGCAATGGCCACAGCTGTGAGAACCCCCGTCCGGTTGAGCTGGTGGCGGGACTTGGCGTTGAACTTGATGATCTTTTCGTCGTCGAGCTTGCAATTGGTGATGGGCGTGCCCGTAGCGTGGAAGTGGAGGGGCGTCGGGTCCACGGCGACTTCGAGCGCCTGCAGGTCGGCCACATCGAGTTCGTCGGAAAAGTCGGGCGAGATTTTGTGCACAATCCAGTCCATGACGTAGATGATACAGAAGCCCATGATAAAGCACGCCGTGCCCGCAAGCCATGAGTTGCCCTGGCAAGTTTGGCCGCATTCATGCTTGCCGTTAGCGTTGTCCTTGCCAAGGCTCACCGTGAACCCCTCGACACTCTTGCCGAAGATTTCCACGAGCGAAATGAAGAGCATCACCCCCGCTGACAGGGAGAGCGCCACCGACAGACTCTTGGGGCTCGCGAGGTGCACGAGGCTCTTGCTGAACACGACCGACCCGCCGATGCACGTGGCGAGGCCGGCGGCGATGTTGAGCGCAAACGCCATGGCGACATGATGTCCAGTAGCAACCATGTCAAGATATGGGAAATTGGAGAATGCACATGAGGCTTTTGTTTGACCATGGTGTCCTGGGTCGGAAGGTAGTTTACTGTTAATATCGCATGTAGAACATGTATTTCTAAATCCGAATCATCATAATATTTAGAAATATATGTTCTGCATGCGATAATATTTAATATCGCATGTAGAACATTTATTTCTAACTGTCCGAAAGACCATCGAGGACGCTTGTTACATCAAAATCTCGATTTATGAGTAAAAATGAATGCAAATTTGTATTCACAGTCAGACGCATTATTATCGAGCGGATTGAAAAATGAGCTCGAAATTCTCCAATTTCGAATAGCCTTTGAGATATGTTCGAAAGACTTGTCGTTTATGACTGTAGGAGCTTGCAATAAATAATACCCTGTGTGAATCTATTTTACACTTGACATCCTATTGTACCCAGGAAAGTACCTGGTACCCATCGTGACTTCATTTGTAATGAATGATACATCTGCATATTTGAGAGTGACTGACCACACAAACATCTTGAAATTTGTATGGAATTGTTTGTAACGACACAGAGATTCTCGCTATTAATTGCGTTTTGGATTATCATTTTTATGACATTCCTCCGCGAGGGCCGATACTTGAACCACATGTTGTGGAACCGCTTCGCCAATTGTAACGCGCCGCTCGACCAGGGGCGGTGTGTAATCTTCGGTTTTTACTTCGCTCAACGCTTCATACAACCTCGGTCCAATAATAAGTGTTCGTATTTCACAAACTCAATTTCCAAGAAAGGATGTTCGTTTTTCATATTTGGATTTTTACAAACCACATGTTACTCTCCTATTTAGACAATTGAACCAAGCCAAGCGCAGCGACAATGTCGTTATGAACTTCGGTGTCGTTGTATATGGTCAATGCTTCTATCTGAGTGCATATCACACCCATTTCCATACTCTCTTGAACCTCCCGGTCAAGTTTATGCATGTGAACAGCATAATCTACACGACTTAAGTATGCACAACCAATACTCCACGCGTTTCTTTCACAGGAAACCATTTCTGGTAGCCTCCCGCGAGCAAGCAACACGTCCTTTTTCATATGCGGGATCTTATACTCATTCCCACCGGTGTCGAGAATAACCTCCTCGAGGCATCTCTGCAAGGTGAGAAAGTTCTTGGTGAGGGTTGTCGTACTGACCGCCTCCCAGGCCGCGTCCGTCGCTGCCACGATCTCCTCAATGCTGCTGGAATGCTTCTCAACTTGGAGTGTCTGAATAGCACGGAAAAAGCCAAGGTCCAGGACGTTTAAGTCCGACCATCTCCATGTCCCACCCCATGGCCTTGCAAGCGGCGACGATGGCGGTGTCACTCGGCGGTACGTGTGGACGCGCGTTGTCCTATTGAATCTTGACGCGCTTGGTCTCATCATTAGGCCACTTCGATCGGATCGCAGGAATGACGTTGTCGATAATCATGGCGTTGTAGGTGTTGCGAGTCACTTTGACAGTTTTCATGACAGGCGTTCCTGCATCATGGCGACAGCTGCTCCGTTGTTCAGGCACGACCTCGGTAAAGTGCCACGTGCCCATTTTGCCGGTGAACCATTCGCCTTTCGCTTCGTACCAGCGTGGGCGAGCCACCGCTGACAGGAGCATGACCTTGAGCTGGTGACGCTTCGACTAGGCGCGCCGTAAATCTTCTTCTGGAGCCGCGTCATAAAAAACCACTTTTCGTCAACATGAACAGTGTCGTTCATGGGGTTGAAATACTTCGCGCCGTCGATGTCCGTGACGTGCTTGATGGCCCAATTGAGCCGGCAGACCTTGTTGGATTCTGTGAGGGAGGATTTGAGCACGCTAGATTACTTCGCAATGACGCCACGCTTGAAGTAGACATGGAGGGTTGACTTGTCCGCTCGGGCATTCGTTTGGGCACTAGTGTAGATGATGCCCTGTCAACATTTTAAATGTATTTTAAATACTCCCAACTCCTTGTACCAACCGGATAAATTTGATTGCCCAGCTAACCATCCGGATAAACTGATTAACCGGCCACCAAAACCATGACCAACATTATTTGCCGCCCTGTTTTGGGCGGCAAGTGCAAACATTTGAAGGAATTAACCAATGAAATTTGTCGACTTCGAAGCAAATCACCTGTGATATGCGTGTCACTTCTCGTTTGCCATCTATAGACACGCATGCCATCACCGCGAACCGCCCGTGTCGAGGCACCTGCTGCTGCACCGAGCAACCACCCGGACATGTACGACATGTCCGGGCTGGAAGACTTCTCGTATGACGAAGTAATGCGAGTGACGCAATCCGAAGAGGAATGCGTTAAGTGGTGCATAAAGGTCGGGTTGCTGCGGTCGCCGATGTGCCCAAAGTGCGCCAAACCCATGAAGCTACGGCAACAGCGATGGCGATGCCAACTGAGCGCCTGCGGCACTGCCCAGCTCAGCGTCAAGGCAGGTTCGTTTTTCGCGAATTCGAAGATTCCGATCTGCAA